GGACCCCACGAGAGGGTGGAGGAGAGAATCTGGTTTGGCACATAACGCGTCGCCAGACGGGACCCAAGCGTCACTTCATTTTTTTGGCGTCTCCATGTGTGTGTGTGTGTGTGTGTGTGTGTGTGTGTGTGTGTGTGTGTGTGTGTGTGTGTGTGTGTGTGTGTGTGCTTTGCCCTCTCTCTCCTCGCCGCTGCCCGGTCTCGCCTGTGTCGTGTGCCCCTGGGCCTTCCCCCTTGCGTGGTTCCCCCGTCCCTTGATTGTTGTTGGGTGACGAGAGATGCTGTGCGCCCCCCGAAGAAACAAAGAAAAGAAAGAAAGAAAGAAAGGCCTCTCTCTCCAAACCTCACACGACTCGCTTCCCCCGCCGCCCGCCACACGTGCGCGCAACACAAGCAATAAAGAGAGAGAGGGCTAACCGCCGGAGAGCGTGCCGAGTCAAGTGGCTTGCACACCACCACTGACACACAGCTGTGCCTGTGCCTGTGCGTGCAATGAAACGGAAAGAGAGGGCGGAGAATGTGATGTTGCTTAGCTCCAGACATATATATATATATATATATTTGTATGCTGCGTCTTACACAGACATCTCCTCCGCCATGCGCAGCCGCGAGTGGGAGGAGCGGAAGCGGTTCATGAACTTCTTCTTGAATGCCACATCGTTGGGGTGCAGAAGCACCGCGTCAAGAGCCTCCCTGTTATGCAGCAGATACCGCATCTCCTCCGCCCCACCCGCGCACTCGCCGTGAAGGAAGAGCAGCGGAAACACCGCGCGATTGTCGTACCGGCGCAAAACGGCCCCGCGAAGGAGGCGCTGCCACGCAGCCGCGTCCTCCAACGACAGCAACTTCACCGGGACCTCCGTGGCCGCAGCGGCAGTGGTGGTGGCTGCGGGGTCATTCTTCGCCGTCTCTTCCTTTTCCTTCGTGCGCCCCGCCGCCCCGCCGGGGGCGTCGTGCGGCTGCATCAGTGCAACCCCCTTCACCTCCCCCCGCCGCACCGCCTCCTGGAAAAGTTGGGTGAGCTGCTCCAGCGACAACACATGGGGGACAACGCGGCGATGGGAAAAGGCCTTTAGCCACTTCTCCTCAATGAAGGCGCGCTGCCGATCCAGCTCCCCACTCGGCGGCGGCGTCCCGCGGCTCTCGGTCCTCGCGATGTTGTTCGTCCCGTAGAGGACCAACACGAGGTGCGGACGCAAGACGCGCTCACGCAGCCACTGGTGCACGCGCTCGGCGACCACGGCGTCCCGCTCGGTGGCGGCAAACTCGACCTCCGCTATGGCCTCCGACGCCTGCACCAGGTGGGCGGCCAGGAGGGGCTCCGACTGCCGCTCGTTGACGGCGCGAACCACGCGCCGCACGCGCTCCTGCAGCTCCGCAGTGGGCGGCGCGTGCTCCGGCGCCACACACACCCCGCACACCTTTTGAACGCGGTTGAAGCGGGTGACGTCGAAGCGGCCGCTCCACGCCACGGAGAGCTGCACCGCCGCGACGGGGACGTCGAGCGCCCGCGCCAGCACCGCGCGGTACTGGTCGCGCAGCCTGTACTCGTAGTGGGCGAAGCCGACCAAGAAGTCAGGGCTGACGTTGCCGTCTCTTGGCAGCGGCGGCAGCGGCGACTCAAACACCACCCGAATGCGTTGCAGCCGCTCCTCGTACAGTTTGTCAAGTGGCGTGCGCCCCGTCTCCGCGTCCACCTGCTCGTAGGACCAACCCTCCGCCGCCGTCCCCGCCGCGGAGGTGAGCCGCGCCGGGCAGAAGAGTGCGCCGTGGCGCTGCAGCGCCGCAGCGCCTCGCGGTGGGAGGAGTGACGCGGGCAACTTCGAGGCCGCCGCCGCGGATGCTCGCAGCACCGGCCCCCACCCCATGAGGCTTCGCTGCCCAGCAGAGGCTCCCCGCAGAGAATAGCAGCAGCCGACTGGCGGGGGCGCCTCCCCAAAAAAAAAAAAAAAATGTCCGCCTGCTCTACCCGTGTCTCGCCTGAGGACGGAGGTGTGCTCCTCCGCCGAAAAAAAAGGGGGAAAAAAAAGCTGGGGAGGCAAAAGACTAAAACCCACGAATAAATCACTGTTCCAACTCAGATCAAGAAAAAAGAAAGAAAGTGAGGGAGAGAGATGGGGAAAAAAACAAACAAACAAACTGCACCCATGCATGCATGCGCAATGCGCATGCAGACGTGTGAGGGGGCGTGTACGCCCCATTCCGTTTTTCTCTTCGCTCTTTTGTGTTGCTCCACACCTCTCTTGGCCCCGCGGCCGCGTCTTCGCTTTTTTTTTCTTTTCGCTTTATTCTCGGCCTTCACTCCACTAACAATTCGAGTCTCCGCTTTACCGCGGCTTGGGTTATCGCACGACTCGTCATGGGAAACACCTGCGACACGATGCCTTGATCCATCACGACCACGCGTGTGCAGAGGGCCTCGAGGGTTCGCACATGGTGGGCGATAAGCAGGACGGTGCAGTCCCGCAGCTCATCCGCCAGCACCCGCTGCACCGCGCTCTCCGTTTCCGCGATGCCGGAGCCGGGCAACTCGTCAAAAAGGAGAAACTGCGGCTTGCGCAGCACGGCACGCGCCAGACAGAGAAGTTGCCGCTGCCCTGGGGAGAGCCGGGAGCCGCCGGCTCCCTCGTGCTGCAGCGCCGCGTCCAGGCCACCGTGCTGGGCGACGCTGCCGTCAAGGCCCACAGTGTGGAGTGCGGACCAAAGTTGCCCATCCGAGGCCGCCCCCGCAATTCCTATCTGGAGGTTTGTGCGCCAGGTCCCCTTCACGACAAGCGGATCCTGTAGGACCAGCATGAAGCACTGCCGAAGCGCGGGGTACGGCATCAGACCCGCATTCACGCCACGCACGTACACGCCACCCCCCTCAATGACGTCAACAAGTCGCAACAGCACATTAAAGAGCGTAGACTTGCCGTTGCCTGACCGACCAACAATGCCCACCCGCTCCCGCTCATAGATCGTCAGGCTCACGTTGCGTAGTGCGTGTGGGAGGGAGACGCGGTACTTCGCTGACACGTTTATCAACTCTATAACCGGCCTCGGCATCACCTCCGCGCCGCCCGCCTGCGCCGCCACCATCTTTGCCTGCTGCTCGATGAAAGGGGGCTGGGGCACACAGAGGACCCCCGGTGGGGTGAGGCCGGCATTCTGCTCCGCCGCACCGCTGTCGACCGGCACGGGGGTCGCGGGCAACATTGTAAGCGGCTCCTCGGGGGCCTCCTGCAATTCCAGCAGCTGCTCCACGCTGACAAACTGTAACTGGAAGTCGCTGGCACTGCGGCACAGCAGCAACAGCGTCGTGGAGGTCTGCAGGCAGGACACCACAGCCACAGCGGCGAACGCCGGAGGCATGAGATAGGAGGCGAAGAGCACGCCAAGAAGCGCGGCCGTTGTCGTCATTAGCACCGTGATGAGCTCGAGTCGCAGCCCCACCCAGCAGTCGGCCATGTGGCCAATCATGCTCGCCGTGTTTGCCACATCCATCGCCCTGGAGTACTCCTCGCGAAAGAGGTCCTTCAGCCCCATGCAGCGTATGACGGGGGCGCCCTCAAGCGCCTCACGCAAAATGGCAACGGGCCCGCGAACCGACCGATTCTCCAGGCGACGCAGCTGTCCAGCGACGGTCAGGTATAGCTCCACCACGTGGTAGAAGAGCATGACCATCAGTGGAATAATCGACAGAAACCACGGGTTCACCACAGCATTGAAGACCGCGATGGCCAACATCCGCAGCACGCCGGTGACGATGGCGTCGAGGGACGCGCCGACGCTGTGGTCGGCGGTTTCCTGGTCGCGGGAGAATATCCCCGTGATGGTGCTCCCGGCATTCTCGTCAAAGTACGAAACCGGGGCACGAAACATGCGCTCAATCGCAAGAAAGTGGATGTGGTTGATCGACCTCCGCACGGCGTGGAAAGAGACTCGCATGCGCGGGATGGTGCAGGTGGCGGCGGTGATGCCGATAATAAAATACAGCAGCAGAAACACAGCGGGGCTTGTGGGTTGTGTGGAGATCCAAAGACTCAGCCACACGTCTTTGCCCACCTGCAGCACGTGCTGTGCCACACTGGTGAGCACAAGCCAAAGTAAGCTGGGGCCCATAAAGGAGAGGAAGCGTCGCAGGTAGGCGGCTCCCTGCTTAAGGTGGTTGCACCCCAGACCGTGCGTTTTGCCGAAGCTAGTGGGGGAACCGCCGCCGTCCTCCTCATTCTCGTCGGCGTCTTCCTCATCGAACTCACACTCGCTGGCCACCGCTGGCTCCTCGCACTCCGCCGCATACAAATACGCCGACCGCTGCGCCTCCGCCTCCGCCTCCGCCTCCGCCGCCTCCCCGCCGCCGCCGCCGCCGCCGCCGCCTCCACGACCGTGCCGTCGTGGTGCAGTGTGAAGAATCGCTTTGGCTTTAACCGAGCAAGGCCCACGTACGTCGCGAGAATAACGGTGCGGTTCCGCAGGATCCCGTGGAACACCCGGTCAATGATGTGTGCCTGCAGACGGGCATCCAAGGAGGCAAGAATGTTGTCGAGCACGTACACGTCTGCGCGAGAGTACAAGGCGCGTGCCAAGGCAACACGCACCCGCTGCCCCGCAGAGAGCTGCACGCCCTTGGCCCCCACAACCGACTCATCACCCTTGGCGAGTGTGGCAAAGTCCTCGTGGAGGGCGCACGCCTGCGTGACGGCGTGATACCAGCGTGCATTGTACACGCTGCTCAGGATAATGTTTGCCCGTATTGTGTCGTTTTGTAGCCAAGGTGTCTCGGAGCAGTAGGCGGAGCGTCCAAAGACGGCGAAGCCGTCCGTGGATGGCTGGGCGGCGTCGAATTGAGCACGCGCTGCCTGCGTGGCCACGTTGGGGGAAAAGGGGGCGACGCAGACACCCGCAGCGGCCCCGCCAGGAGCCGGCTCTGTGGGAGTTTTGTCCCCGGCGGCTGCGGCTGCTAAAGTGGCGGTGGTGCAACACCGGTTTACCTCGCCGAGTATCGCCAGCAGCAGCGTGCTCTTCCCGGAGCCGAGGGGCCCCTGCACCACCACCAGCTCCCTGGGCCTTAGAAACATGTTTACATCCCGCAGCACCGGCGTTGGGGGCCCCCGGGCGGCGTCGTCCTGCCACGTGAAGGAGCAGCCATGGCAGATGACCGTGCCTCGCCGGTGCGACCAGTCCGCCGTGACGTCGACCCAAGTGCCCAAGAACTCATCCGGGGCCTGCTGCAGATAGGCTTCAATGCGTCGCAGTGACGCAAATCCGCGTGGGATGGCCGCCACGACCGCTGGCCACTCATTAACGACACCACGCAAAAGATTTAGTGCGACAAGGGCAGGCACCACGACGCGCGCCGTGAGTGACCCGCCGGTGAGGTAGTAAGCCGTGTAGCAGGCAGACGCGAGCGCCACCCCGATGCCGTCTGCCAGCCAGGCAGATCGCGTTGTTGCCTCCATGGCGCCAACCTCGTCTTTTGTCTCCGTCTGGCGGGCGAGGTGGATGCCGCGCAGGTAGAGATGCTCCGCGCCCATTGCCTTCACCTGTCGCATGGAGGCCAACGCCTCGCCAACGAGCTCCACCCGGTCCGCCGTCCGGGACGTACACCGCCGCTGTGCCGCCTGCACCTCCCCTCCCGTCACGCGCTGAAGCGGGGTCGCAATAATAATAATAAGCAGCGCCGCGAGCGTGGGAAGGAGGCCGACGTGCATGTGCAAAATGTAAAATGAGGCAGCCGCAAAGCATGGACACCGCCAGGATTGGTGCAGCTGCATTAACGTTTGGCTGCAGCGTGAGGCGTCAACGGTGATGAGGTGAATGACCTCGCCTTTGGTGAGGGTGCGCTGCGCCAGCGGCAGCGCCAGAGACTTCTCCAGCACCAGGGCCCGGATCGCCGTGCCCACCTCCAGCGCGGAGAGGTAGAGTTGACTTATGTACTCCTGCCGCAGCACCGCGTGTCCCAGCAAGACAAGAAACAAGATCCCACACACGCCAATCGGATGCATCACCCCCTCCAGGCTCTCCCTTTCTATGGCGAGGGTGAGATGGTACACAATGGCCGAGGTTGAGAGAATCAGCGCATCTGAAATGAGGCGTAGCGGCACACACGAATACATGAAACGTCGCCCGCTGCGGTGCTCGAGGAAAAGCGTAAAAAGTCCCACGTCCGTCGAGAATAAATTTGACCGCAGTTTGATCGCCGCATCCAACAGTGCCGAGACAGTGCTCCTGCGTCTCATACTGTTGCTGCCGCCGCGACGGTCCACTTTTTTGTCGTCCACCTCGTCGCTTTCCGAGGCCTCCGTCCCACGCTTCTCGCTAAGAAAGATGCTCACAAAGGCCTTGCGGAGGGCCCAGCGAAGCGGCGCGGTAAAAAAGAGGAAGGAGGACATCCAGAAAGACCGCCTCGGGCGCCTGGGCCGCAGCTTTGCCCCCGTCAATGGGCGATGCTGACGGATTGTGACGAACGTTCCGTCGTCGGAGCTGCCGTCGCCGTCCTCGCCGTGTGCGCCGCCGATGTCGGGGCCCTCCCGCTCCTCGCCTCCTCGCGCCTTCCCAAACCAGCGCCAACGGTTCACCCAGAGCTGCCACGCCGGTGTGGCGATGTTCTGCAGCGCGGTAAACCCCTCAGGAAGGGAAGGGAGGAAGCGCTCGTGGTGCAGCACCTCGCTGTCGATGGCGCTGAAGCTCATCAGGGGAGTAAGCCAACTGTACGTCCACCGCGCCGCCCAGCCGGCGTCCTCCAGCGACGGGAAGGCGTTGCCGGGGCGGAACTCGTCCTCGCGGCCGGAAAAGGGGTCATACGGCGGGCGCCCCTCCTCGGGCTCGTTGGTCCCCATCGTGCCGTACGACGGCAGCTGCGAAAAGCTGCGATTTAGCCGTCGCCTCCGCGGCTTCTGCGCGGGAGGTCTGCCGGCGCTGGTGGGCGGCAGGCGAGCGCGGGCAGCTCCAACCTGCTGCGCCCCCACAACACCCTCCTCCACCTCATCCCCCTCGTCGTCGTCGTCGTCGTCGGTGCCGAAGAGCTCAAGGTCGGTGGAGCCGTAGCCCGTCGTGTCGAAGACGCCGCTGCTCGCTTCCCCGTCGTTGAAGAGCCTGCGACAGCGGTGCCGATCTGCCGGGCGTGGAAGGACAGGCAGCGGCATCGCCGTCACAACGGCGGCACCCACAAGCGTCCCGCCTGCCGTGCGCTTCTCCTTCTCGTCGGTGCGACTGTTGTCGTTGACGCTCGCGGGCCTCTCTGCGGTCTCCGTCGCGATATCCCACTCCTCCCCGCAGAGAGGGCAGCGGCGGTGGCCATCGGCGACGGCGAGCGCGCGAACGCCAACGACGGCGTCCAACACTCGTTGAAAGTTTAGCACGAAACACGCGGTGAGAATGACAAGAAAGACAACGGTGACGCGGAAGACGGTCGCCTCCAGCGTGGCGGTGTAGGGAAGCATGTACTCCGCCGGGGTCAGCTCCACCTGCTGAGGCGGCGAGGCGGACTCCACGCCACTTCGATTGAACACATGAAACGTGACGCCTCCGCCGGGGTGTCGCTTGGCGAACGGCACCCACGGACGCGGGAACTGTGGGGACAGCGCGGCAAGCCAGAAAAACAAGGTAAAGGAGAAGGAGTTGTGCCGGATGTACCAGAGCAACTCCAAGCCCCCAAATACGAGCTGCAGTAGCGCGACGTACCCGCTGAGCCTACCACGCGTTAGGCAAGCGACGACGCAGAAGGAGCAAATCAGATAGGAGTAGTAATACGTTAGCAAGGACAGCGGAGAGGCCTCCCACATGCGCAGAAAATCCCCAGACGTGGTGTTTGTTGTGGGCTGTCCTGCCTCACACTGGGGCTGCGACCAGGGCACCCTGCCTCCCTGCAACTCGTTTCGTGGCAACTCAAAGGCATGCACCGTCCAGACGCCAACGCAGCGGGTTCCGCTTGTGTCGCGGGCCGTGAGTGCGTAGTGCGCGTTGTACTCGTCCCGGAAGAGTAGTGAGCGCACGGTGAGGGGCGACGCGATGGCGGCGACAAGCAGGAGGAGGTGCATAAGGTGGTAGGCGACGGCGAAGGTGAGGGACACGTAGGACTGCATCCGGTACGACCGCAGAAACCGCCGCAGAGCGTTGCGGAGGCGAAGGCCCACAGTTGACCGGCGGCCCCGCCGCGGCGAGGTTGGCCCCAAGAGGCATTCGCTGGACTCCTCTCCGGCCCCGGCCCCGGCCCCGGCCCCGGCCCCGCGGCGGGGAGGAGGAGGCCCCGGAGTGGCGGCGGTCCGCATCTGGTGGCGAGGCTGCAGCCCAAGTCCGGCTCAGGCGGCGGAGGGGCGAGCAAGATAGATAGATAGATAGATAGAGAGAGAGAGAGAGACAGTGCGCCAAGGGAGCAGGCAGAGAAGTTGCACCTCGAGGCCTGCAGAAAAAGAGGAGAAATAATAAAAACAATAAAAATAATAAATAAAAAAACCGCTACGGCACACACCACGAGGGGAATGCGGGAACAGACAAAGACACGCGCGCCCACAAAAGAACACACACACACATAAAAAAAAAGAGAGGACAAGAGAAAGAGGAGGAGGGAACGGGCAAAAATTTTTTCACTCCCCCTGTCCCCTCTACTCCTCCCCAGCGCCAAGTCCCCCGGCAGCAACGCCGGCGCATGTGCTACTTTTTCCAGCTTCAAACGCTCTCATCTCCTTCTTCTTGTCCTTGTTGTTGTTTTGTGGTTTTGCTCCCTGCTTTCTTTTCCTTATTTCCCCCCCCCCCCGCCGCTGCCGTTGCTGCTGAGCGGCGGCAGGCGAGTAGAC